TTCGAAAAGTAATTTGTGGTCAAGTGGAGAGGCAAATTTCGATACGCTCTGGAAAATTAACAGAGTAACTCGAAGTTCCTAAATGGATTTAACGGCTATCAAGTCATAGAGGCAGACCTTGTGTTTACAATGTAAATTCACCTTGTTACACTTGAAAGAAAATCACAACTGAAAATAAACGCCAATGAACGAACTACCCAAAGGAGCTACTGTTAAAAATTAGCGTCATTTACCGACCACTTTGAGTGGAATTGTGCACGTCGAAATCAATTTAAGCTTTCAAAACGACCTCTTTTTCGAACAGAATGTATGAATTTCAATCAACAGAATGCTCCGATGCTACAGGATTACAGAAAAACATGAAAACGCCATGAACATGAAATTACTCGTACACGTGAAGAATACAATTCCTCGTGCTCATTTAGTGTACATTACAGAAAAAGGAATCGATAAATTAGTTCTTAAGAGATTGAAATACAGTATCGATCTTCGTTGAAAAGGACACGGAGAACGAACTGGCGATATTAAACGCAATGAAAAGACGCGAAAAAAAATTACTGCGTACTCGACCTTTTCCCGAGCAAGTATTCGAGGAACTTGTACTCATTATCACAATCAGTCGTGCAGAAATGAACCAAGAAATCAAAGACAGACAAAACATAAGAAAACAGCAACGGAATCCATTTTTTACCTGGTGTTAAGGTATCGCTCGCGTGGATATCTCCGGGTGTAACTACTCTTGAACACTTCATAGACGTAGCCACACGCTGAGCAATACAAGTGCTACACTTTGTCAAATCAACTGTGCCACAGTCAATAATCAAAAAGTAATTATTCTATCCGATAGACGCATGGATGGTTATAGATCACTTAATCGCTTGATCAATATTTTAATTCTCGTTAATGATCGTCCTACATTCAGTTCAAGGCTGTTTTAAAGAACTTAGCACAGAATACACTTGCACTAGGTTTTGCTCGTACTTTATATAGAGGCATCGTCATTCTTCAGTGCAAAGAGATAGCTGGTAACAAGAAATTTATTTTTGATTGCTCGATGTTTGGCGGTTTAAGAGGTTTGGGCTTATGCCAAAAACACTTTCATGTTATCTAAAATTGATCTCGAGGGTCACTGACCATAAATCACAGAACTGGAAAGGTTACCATAAAATGAAGAAATGTTTGCTCACATAACTTCGTTTTTCAGCGCAGGCAACTTTGCGGATCACGATTCCCTTTGCTTTTGAGATGTCTTGTTCACCTCGGTTCATAACATTTTTTCGTAAAAAAGTCTTTCTGAACAGCAGAGCAGAAGGTTGAGAGAGCACAGCAGTGGTAATGCACAGCCAACAGGGATACCAAGTCAAGAGAGACATCAACTCAACAGAGACGGTAACGCAAGGGTAGTGTTAAGGGCGGGAGGGGGGTGAAGGGAAAGGGACAAAATGAAAAAACAATCGATTTCTCCCTGGGAATACTCTTGTGACAACCCGGTGTGTTTTTGACATGTTTGAATGCCTAAATGTATGGTGGATTTTTCGTCATCAAGCGGATGAACACGAAGGGAAAATATTTTGAGAGATGATTGTTTATGGGAATGTTTCAATAGAGAGTTGGTCTAGGTTTTTCGAGACAACGGGATTTTTCCAGGCGGCCAAAGGGGGGTTGGGGTTAGGGTTGGTGCGGGGGAGGGGGGAGGGGGGAGGGGAAGAGATTCACCATATAAATAACAGGGAAGCTCCACGGAAAGTATTAATAACACCCCGAGAGGAGACCAATCGGGGTGTGGCTGGAGCGTTTTTGACCATAATAGATACCACTTATGCTCGTCAATTCCCACCTACTCATCAACAGGATGACGGTGCTTTTTTCAATTTCTTCCCAAGAGCCCTAACAGGAACTAAACAGCAACAGCTACGCGAGGTTTGTGCTGATAAACAATGCAAGACAAAAACCGGTGATTTACCCCCCCACCCCCACCCCCTTCGAAGTGACACGTCGAACACCTTCCATTTATGTATGAGACTAGCTCCCATTTCCCCAAAGACCCCACAGGGCTTTACACTTAAAAGCTGCCACCGCAAAAAAAAAAAGAAAAGAAAAGAAAAAAGCTGACTTGACATTTTGGAAAGAAAAAAAAAAAGAATTAGTTTTCAACCCTATTGCAAAGCCATATTTTGATTTCAGGAATACAGTGATATAAATCCTCGAGAACTACAATTTATTTCAAGAATAAAGCGGAGATAACGTGGAACATTTAAAAATCACGGGTAACCATTTTATCTTTTTAGATTGTTATGACTTAAATTTAAAATGAAAACAGCAAACTCACTACTGTCATTCTAAGTATAATCTTTATTTTGACCAGCAAACTTTTTAAGACGTCATTAGTCCAGCTACTACGCTCAAGAAATAATAGTGACTTTAAGACGCATCTCCAAAATTTAATCAAACAAAAATGCCAAAACCCTTAAAGAACTCGGTTCAAACGGTCACATGACATCATCAAATTACTTACACAGCTCTATTAAAGTTCTCTCATCAGTATTCTTGCTTAAGCGTGGTAAACTGGTAAGAGAATAACACCTGATGGGATCCAAAAATTTCTAAGCTTTTTATAATAAATAGCAATACAATATTGTTGTTAAAAAGATAAATGAATTCTTGAGATTTTAAGGGGTTTATTTGTCAGACTGTCAGAGTCACACCATCGGCCTTATTTTTGTTTGTAAATTTAACTTTAGAAGTTGAACGTAAAATTCACTTGGAAAATAATACTTCCAATTTAAACAGCGTTCAAAAACAAATTCACTGCAATTTAAAACATTAATAAACAAAAAGGATTTTTCAAAGTGATATTTTAAAAGTTGAAAAGTATCATTCAAAACGGATTGAAGAAAATCGCTCATTTCATGTAAATTTTATTGAAAATTAGCAATTTTCTTTCTTCGAAGTTTTTTTCAATTCTATTATAGCAACGCTATTACGAAGCGAGAGAATTTAGCGGAGGTTAATAGTCAAGAACATATGTCAGTTTATTCAATAGTTAGCTAAGAATTTCCCAACCGAGCAGTTTAACTATTAAAGAATTCCCTATTGAGTAATAGAGATGATGTAATGAATGAAACACTATTTTATTTAGTGTTGTTAGTTTTGCTGTTGCTGTATTCAGCGCACAAACCAGCTCAAGTCTCGCAGCAAGGGTTGATGGAGCAATAGGCTGTGCTCTGTTCCAGAACAAGTTTTCGGTTGTTGAAATAGAATAACGACCACACGAATCGGGGAACAGAAGCCCAACACTAAAAAGTAAATTGCTAACGTAAGGCAAATACTCTTTAGTAGCCTCTCACGACAAAGCAAAACCACTTCGTCGATCTAAGATCTTGCAGCTCTTTCCAAACCGCAAATCATCGACACGATTGTAGGTGTATCTTTCGCAATACGAATCCCTAAACTCCGGTAATATTTTTCTCTGCACGTTGGAGGGCATTCGGACATCGGCCAATCAAAGCCAGAGAAAACATCACAAGGTGCTCATGGGAAATGAAAGGAAAACAAGCTAACTGCCTTGAGCGCGAGGAAACATGAGTGACCACGTGAAGTCGTGATTGAAGAGAATGAAAGTACCACAGCTAGCCGCAAGCAGGCCAAAACAGTTGTCGATGAATAGTAAATCTTAGCTCGTATTTTCAGGTTTTTTTTTTTCTCTAGCAAAGTATCCCAACCATATACACGTAACAGCGGTTATTGTAAGAGCAACCCGTTTTGCGTTTACAAAGGGCAAAATAACATAACAAGGTTGGAATTGTCGCAACCCCTATTGACAAATTCGTGTGACTTTCTGAGCGAATGGCTGACAAATGAACCCCTCTAAACCAGATAAATAGTCAGTTAAATTGTAGAATCCAGCAGGCGTCGATAGAATGTCAGCATACAAATTACGTTTGAAAAAAATCTAAAAACAATATTCTAAAAATATAACAAAATGAAACAAGTAAAAAAATTATGTAAATCAATAATTCTCGCAGTGAGCTACAATTTAAGCAATTGCAGAAAAGAATCTTCAAAATAATCCTAGCTTTGACAAGCTTTGAACCCATGCCCCTCCGATACTAATCGGGCGCTACTACCAACTGAGCCACGAAGAAACACGTTGGGTTGCGAAGCAAATGTAGGGGGGTTCTTCTTTCTCGTGGAGGAATTTGATCACAATTTTTTCACTGAGTCTCAATTGTTTTTCATAATATGTTAATCTTGACTATTGGCAGATTATTTTTCTTTTAATCTGACGCATTCAAATAAATCGTTCTTGAAAATTGTTATGTCAAGCCCTTTTGAGAAATGTCATCTGTTTCTGTATGAACAAGCAAAATTAGTTATTTGAGTTGTTGAATATTCGTTCCCTATGTCAGTGAGTCCTAAAAAACAGGATCCTTAAAAAAAATCGTTTTGATCCTTTGGACCAAGATTAAATTCATTCATACGCTTATTCAAGTTTTCAATAAATTATGCTGGCGTGTTACCAATCAAATGAAAATTACGGAGCAGTAATTTCATTTGGTGTTGTTTATTACGCTGAGCAACGTGGTTCAAACTCTTAAGTAACTGAATGAAACTCTAGTGTGTGACCATTCAAATGAAAACTAACAAGCAGCTCTGGTACGCTTTGCTGTCAAGTGAGAGCGCTTTTTGATTGAGTGTCGCAACCAAAATCAAAGTAATCACCACGGCCAATTAGAAGAGAGGAAAATACGTTAAAGAGCCTATGAAAACTCAAAATAAAAACAATCAGACTGCCAAAAGCGCGGGAAAACGTGGGCGACCAATTCGTGGCTTAGTTTCGCATCTGATTGGTTGAGAGAGTGGCGCGAGTTTTCTGCACCAATCACAGAGCGACTTTGAGTAAAAACAAAGTAATCCGGGATTACCTTACTTACTCAATTGAAAAATGCTCTAAAACTTTCTATTTAACAAACGTCATCAGTACCACGAAGATGTTTTACCTTCTTTCGCATTACTTGCACCTGCTGCTGATGAAACCGCACCATCCGTAGTGCTGTCATACCAGTTATCCAGAGCCAGTGGGTAAAGAACAGTGTCAGGATTCTCCACTGGATGTAGCGAATGTCTAATAATCGAGCGTAATCTCTCGTTGATTTTGATATCTACAAGATAAAATTCAGATTATTGTCACTTTTGTGAAAAGAGAAAAAGCGAAAAATGTGTTCACTTAAACACCATGAGAGACGTTGCTTGTGAATGGAAGAGGTTTTTCTCACCTGATACAAAGTTTCCCGTAGCAGAAAAGACAAATTCTACTTTACATCCGTCTGGAAATCTTCTATCTGTTGGTGGGAATAAAGACAGAGGCTCTTAAAAAGAACAAGGAAGACTCCGTGGTCTGCGAGCAGAATCCTCGTTGTTGGTGCTTCGGCACGATTGTTTCTCCAAAAATTGAGGCCTTACGTAACGCTACCCTGCGAGAGGTTTCAATGGGTCTAACACTGATAATGAGCGCCAGATCCCCGGCAAAACCCCTCCGTCAGAAGTCTAAGGTTGCAAAATTTTGATTCAATTCCTACTTTCCGTCTTAGAGTTTATTTTTTCCTCAAGATAAATTCTCTACTTTGGTCGCCATTTGGGAGGGGGTCTACTGTGTCGAAGCGCTTGAGTATTCTTAAGACCAATTAAGAACATGAGGTACATACCTTTACAAGCATCATCTAATTCAGTCTTGTCCAACTCGAGGCCATAATCCCTAACGGCGCCAGTGTGAAACTGACATCTAAAAATGATATCACGACCGGACGAAAGAGTGTTCTTGTGATAACACTTGATCTGTGAAAACAAACAAGATGACTTACATTTAAAAAAAAAAGTCAATTCAGGGTCAAAATGAATCCAGAATGGTTTATTTGGTTTTAATTTATTGTGGTCCGTGATTGGTCGAGATAATTCGCGCCATTCTTTCACCCAATCCAGTACAAAGCTTAAACCAATAGCGACGAGGTTACACGCGTTTTCCCGCGCTTAAGGCAGTTCGTTTGTTTTTACCTCCGAGTCCTTAGCGGGTCTTTGCAATATTTGTCCTTCGCTCTGATTGTTTGTTGGGATTCTTCGGTTTTTCTTTTAAAGGATGCAATACTTTTCCTTGTAAATAAGTTAAGAGAATTTGAAACTGCATCAAGATAGCTCCCTCTCGCTAATGATTACAAATTTCAAATTACCAAGACATCTCCATGCAGTATAAGACCTCCTTCAATGGTGATACAAATTCTTTCCATATCTGGCGTCACGTGACTGAAAGCAAATTGAAAAAATTCACCTTATCACAAAACCGAACGAAGACAAATTGATCACATACAATAATTACACCAAATGGTTTCGAATATCTGATCACCTAATAAAGTAAATAAAACTTACTAAACTCCTGAGGTGTAAATGAGTTTTAGCCCGTCATATACTCGAAGAAATGGCTTACAGCCTAGAGGCAACCGTGAAATAAATAGAGTTACACACTGATAAACAATTAATCCGTTAAATCCCAGATCAAATTTGTAATTCTCCTTACTGTGAACCATACAATTCTTATAATGTTAGTTCAGAGAATTTAGTGTTGGATCAACGAATTATTCCCAAATTGATCTTTCTCTTTACTCTGTTTACTGGGAGTTATTGGGAATAGATAAAAATATCAGATAAATAACGCTCTTATCTTACCATCTTTGGTATCAAAACTTGGTATTCCATGAACAATAATATGATGAAGAAATATGGGACTAACGAAAAAAAGACAAAATATTTATCAAATAGTTATCTTTACAAGGTTTAGTATTTCATGAGACCAACACCATTAAACCTTAACTCCGGGGAGTGATATGCATCAAATTTCTCCCCTTACTATCACCCCTGAATCACACGTTAAGGTCATGAAATTAAGGAAAGGATCACCCACTAAATACGCTCTTGATCGTTCAACAAATTCTCTTTGTTAGTACCTTAGGAAATGTATAGAGAATATGCATACTGGCGTTGGAGTTTTGGGATGTATATGTGTAAAACAACGACTGCAATAAAGTCCCTGAGTGCTGATGCCCACTGCGTTATCTCATTTGATTCAGAAATCACATTGATAAAGACAGGCCCAGAGACTTATCGTAAAAACTAACCAAAAGTGCCCATCCCCTCCCCCCTTACATTTGTACGACACCCACACATGACATTCAATAAGCAATTAAAAAGAATTATAACCATTGTATTCCAGGGGTGGATGGTGAGGGGAGGGCAGAGTTTAAAATGTGGTACATCAAAAGACTTACTCCGTGTTCAGTTTGACTTTTCCATCCAAATAATCACTAAAGTAGTGCACATATCTGAAAATGACAAAGGACACCACAGTCAACCCTTTAACTCCCAGATCAAATTTGTAATTCTCCTAACTGTCAACCATACAATTCTTCTAATGTTAGTTCTGAGAATTTAATATTGGATCAACTAATTATCCCCAAATTGATATTTTTCTTGATTCTCGTCACTCATCTGGTTGATTTTGTATTGATATTGCCAGGAGAAATTATATCTTGGTCACTCTTGGGAGTTAAAGGGTTAACTCTTAAGAGTGACTGGCATCTAATTTCTCCTTACAGTATCACCCTTGCATCAAATGTAAAGGTCATGAGAATAAAGGAAATGATCACTAATTCAAGATACGGCTGATTGCCAAACAAATTCTCCTTCTCAGTACCATAGGAAATGCATGAGGAACACTGGGAGAATTTAAATACTAACGTTGGGGTGTAAAGTGTTAATTTATTCGTTAATGAATGACTAAACCCTGTTCATGTCTTCCACTTATTTAAATGAGTTCTTGATTCAGAAATGATGCCAATTTCACTGCCAACAGCCCCTTCCAAGACTGCTCTAGCTAAAAGATAAACATTCACCTGAAGTGTGGCTTTCAACATTTAAAACAATATACAGACAAGCACAAATGGGTCATTTTGATTATTTTAAAACCAACCTTCTCTGTGATGGCTGTGTGACTCCCCCCAAACTGTCATCATAAAATCTTTTCATGGCAAACCAGTCTAAAGCAGCTTGAGGGCTAGCATGAGAATATCACAATTAATAACCCTAGGATCTGATTCATAATTATCCCTACTTGATCCAATACATTCCCTCTGAAACTTAGTTGAGAGAATTGGATATTATATCAGGACACATCTCTGACCTGATGTATTTGTGTATTGATTTGCTCCACATTCTAGCTGGATAATGTATGTACTGTGAGGAGTGGTAAAGCTACGAGACAGCACTCTGACACTTACTGAATTTATTCCTGTTTGTCCAAGGTTTAATCCTTCAGCAGTGTTTTGTCAAAAATTCAACTGATTTGCCTCTTGCCACTTAAAAATTTTCACCAATTTATGTTAAATTGGAATGTTTTATCACAGTTGTTACACAGAAACCAAAAAAATCGGTTTATTTCTGTCGATATACCAAAAAATGGTAGAAAATTACATTATTGACGTGCAATTTTGTTTCTTCGGCTGCTCAGAGGTGAATAGTACTTGTCTTGATAATTACTCATAAACCAGTCAATAAGCCTGTGCAAAAAGCACTATACACATGTGTTGTATAAACTAATATAAGTCATATTATTATTGTTATCATTATCATTGTCACTATTGCCAGGTGTATCGTCTTCATCATCATTATTGTTATGCAATAATTATGTCTAAGATCTCTGGGATTGAAAAAAAAAAGGGAAATTGTTCATTTTGACATGATTTTGACATAATGTAGAAAATGTAATCACACTTCTTGAATGTTAGAGTTTTCAAAGTTGTTTAAAACTTACCTTGAACATATCTTACTGAAGTGCATGTACGCAGCAATAACAACTCCAGTTCTTCCTTTCCCTCCCTGAAATAATAATGAAAAAACCAATTAAACCCAAACAACTACTAGACTGAAGAATTACCTCCCAATAAATTGTTGCAAATTATTATGGGGGCCTGCTGGAAGGAATGCAACACTGTGGGCTTTACCACCTTACCATTACCAAGTGTAACAATTGGGAAAATAATTGCTTCATATATCAAGAACGCCTTTTCAAAATAATCAACAGATACTATTATTAATAATTTCTTTACTAACCTTGCAATGGACAACTACCACATGCAAGGGATCACTCTTGAGCCATGAATCAATTGATTTAATTATACTGCATATTAAGTAAAGAGAAAAACACAAAAATTGCTGAGTTTGTAATTTGGATGTTAGTTCACTATTAGATTCTCAAAACAAAACAAGAAAGAATCAGAAGTAACATACCTACACAATCTTTCAAGAGGTGGGGCTAAGTGATCAGGCCAACCAAAATCTAAAACCTTGACCACAAACAAAATGAAAGTCAAACTTAAAAGTACTTGCTGATTCCATTTACTTCTGTGCAGAGCTGGTATGCAAAGTAACCCTTTAACTCCCAAGATCTGATTGCTAATTTTCAACTTTAGCTGTCAAAGGCTAAACTTGACATAACAACCAAAGGTTGATGAAATGCCATACTGTGTCGCAAAATTGAACTAATAGAGGAACCTCACCTGATGATTCAATTTGGATATGTCATATCTCCTTTCAGATAAATTAAAAACCTAAAAATACAGCAAACTAATTAATATAGATCAGAGCAGAAAACAAGATGTAAGGCCATCCATTAGCGATTGGACATCACAAAATTCTCTGACTTAAGCTTAGATAATTCTAATTTTGAAAAACAACTCAATAATTTTGTTTTTATCCCACTATCAATCTCAGATAATAAAAAAATATTTCCAATATACAAAAAATAAATAGGAAAAGAAATCATAAAAAGGAAAGGAAAAATGGAAAAAAGGAAGAGTCCAGCTTACCATGAATTTGTCTCCGTGATTTGTCTGTAACATTTTTGCAACCTCTCTGAGGTTATTTCTGTATGTTGTTTCCAAGCCAGAGGCTGGAAATGACATTGCTATAATTTCCATAAGAATAGAAAAAACATATAATTTGTTTAACACAGCAGAAAATCTGTGGTAGCAAGAATAACAATCATTATGGCAGAATTATTATAAGAATCATTTCCAGGCTAACCGATTATTCTGTCTGTTATGTACGTCATGTCCAGATCAAAATGTTCATCCACATGCCGCACTCTGTTCCTGGAACATTGAAGTGATAATTAGTTAACAGCTAAGACAATGAATTGCAAAATCAAAGCAGCCACACCCAAAGGACCCCTGGATGAACATCCCAAATTTGCTGATTGACGCTATTGACCAAGCGAAAAGGAGTACAAATATGTATGCGAGGGCTGGTTTTGATTGAAAAACAATTCCACAATGCCACTCCAGAGCAACGAGATTACAACGAACATACTGGAACTGGTCCTGAAAAACAGAAACTTGCCGTCTCACAGCCATGCAAGGGTCAAATATCTCTACATTATTTTTCTTGTGACTCACACTGCTTTTTACTTCAGTTAGTTACAAGGACTTTTAGAATAATTAGTTAATTCCTCAATTTTGTTTCTGAAATAAGAAAAGTGCAAGACAGTACTTGGAAACTCTGTGCCGCATGTGATAGCAGATGTTTGTCACAAGGCTTTTGGGTGGTGATGGTAGCCGCTGAGAAAAAAAAGCAAAAAAACAAAAGGGTTATTTAAAAAAATACCCATATCAAAATATAATTTCAACTCATATTTTAAGATTTAAACTACTAGTAGATACATACCAAGCATGCTCAGGCTCTCAACAATTAATCAACAAATAAAATTCACACACCAAAATGTTTTCCAAAAAGCCTCAACATCTTTAAGGGAAAGCCTCCCACAAATGCAATGTTCTCCCTTTTTTTGAGCACAATAAAAAGGAGAATTTTTCAACCAGTAGAGCAATCCTTTTATCTGTTAAATGTTCCAGAATTCCGAGCCATTTTAGGTAGTACTAGTAATAGGAGGTGCTACAGTGGAAAATTTTACCATTTACCACTTGAAAGGAGAACATTGCAAATACTAAGTTCATCTGTAACTGGTTTGAAAGTAACATAAATCATAGTAGTCATGCTTACTCTCAAGAGGCCTTTCTTGAATCAGCCTCCACAACCATATTCAATTCAACCGAGTACTTATGCAGCTTGCTCTATGCATGCATGTCTTTTGAACCTTATCATTGATTTGCAACTCAAGTTGAATGACGCCAAAATATAAGCTCTGACCTCCTACAGAGGCATAAAAATCTTCTCAGGGTAAAAATGAACTGTGAGCTAAGGGGGATTAGAAATTCATCAGTTACATCAACAGTAACACCACAAAATTTCAAGACATGGTTATAACTCAATAAGGATATCATACAATAGTCAACACATTAACCATCCCTCTGACAAAGGGTTAACGCTGGAAACGTCAGCCTTTTAACTCTTTAAAGTGGCCAATTTACGTTTTCAACTCAGTTGTAAACACTAAATTACCTGCTATACTTTCCCACCGATGTAGCACCACAGTTTCTTTAGAAACTTACCCCCTTTACTCTTTAATAAAATCTATCTCTAACTTAGTTGTATGATCAATATCTGGAAGCTAAATAAACAAACTGTCGTGGTGCTGAGTCAATGAGGGGTCCTAGAGGATAATTTAGTTGTTTATCAACTGAGTTGATTAAAAAAAAAATCGGTCACAGTAGAGAGTATCTGGAGCTGAAAATTTGAGCACAAGCTCTGGCTTGAAATTAAAAAGAAAGATTAATTATCTGATAGTGGTTTGAATTATTTGTTCACACATTTTACTTACCGATCTTTTCCCCACATCCACTTCATCAGGCAATGTCTAAACAAAAATCACCGTAGCAAAAGATTCATTAGAGATTTAATTGATTGAAATCCATTTTAATCAGGTAAAATTTCTTGCATAAAGAATTATCAGGTGGTAGATTTTACATAACAACCTGAGTACTCTCCTACATTTAATAAAAGCGCTCTTTTGCAAGTTAAAACTTGTCAAATACTTACCTGACTTTTTCCTAAGGTGATTACAAGTATGATAGACCCTATCATTAAACCCCCTAGGCAACTTCTCAATTCTCAAGGCTCCCAGACAGAGGGCCAATTATGGGAGACCAAGGCTTATCACAGAAAAGGGAGAGAGAGAGGGGTGGGTTTACAGAAGGGGCCCTTTTCAAAAACTTAAGTAATGCGATTCATTCTCTCTTTTTAGATTAAACACTTCGATATTCAAAACAGAAACCAACACAGGCCCAATTAAATAACAGCACTTCTACCACTTGGGATTTTTTTTTGGGGGTCTTTTTTTAAGAGGGAAGAGGAGGGAAGAGGTTGCTAACAAGCTAAAGTTTTGTTAGAGAGTAGTGGGTGGGG